CTGCCCTCCTGGAAAAATCATCACGCTGAAGCTACTGCAGTTTACCACACTAGGGGTTTGTTACCATGGGGTTTGTTGGTGAGTGTTTTGTTAGTTATTTGATTTTTTAATTTTTTAAATTGGAATAAAATATACAAGTCATATAATGTAGCAACTTGACCATTTTGAAGTGTATGCTTTAGTAGCATGAAGTACCTTCACATTGTGGTGCCACAGATCTGCAGAACTCTTTTCAGTTTACAAATTAAACTTTGCACCTAAACAGGGACCCCACCCCCCACCCCTGGCCCTGGCAATCCCCATTCTACTTTCTGTCTGTGCATCTGGCTACAAGCAATCCCCAGACTTAGATACAACTAGGAACAGAGGCTATTACAGTAAATCCCTGAGTTACAAACATCCTACTGATATACTGCTCGCACTTACGAATGGAAGGTATTATAGCTAATAGATAAATATGCCTGCCCCAACTTACATACAAATTGAACTCAAGAACAAACCTACAGAACCCATCTTGTTCGTAACCCAGGGACCGCCCATACACTAGGGAGCTCAAAGAAATGGCATCATACAGTCTTTGTGCTTTTTGTGACTGGCTTATTTCATTTAGCACAACGCCCTCAAGATTCCTCCATGCGGCAGCACGTGTCAAAATGTTCTTCCTTTTTAAGACGGAATAATATCCTATGATGTGTACGGACCACATTCTGTTTATCTGTCATCCATTGATGGACGCTCGAGTTGTTGGCTGTTGTGAATAGTGCTGCTATGAACATGGGTGTGCAAATATCTCTGAGTCCTTGTTTTCAGTTATTTGGGGGGTAAGCCCAGAATTGGACTTGCTGGATCAGATGGAAGTTGTTCTATGTTTAATTTTTTGTGGAACTGCCATACTGTTTTCCATAACGGCTGTACCGTATTACATCCCCATCAACAGGGCACCAGGCTTCCGGGGGGTCCACATCCTCTTTGATGCTTGATATTTTCTGTGTCTTCCCTTTCTGTGAATCATAGCCTTTCTGACTGATGTGAGGTGCTACCTGATAAGGTTTTGTTATCTCCCTTGCACAGATGTTATTTATAACTCGTAGCTTTTCAAGTCATCCTTCATTGATCTTAACTCCATTCCCTCCCTAGCATCCCAACACCAGAGCGTGAATCGTCCCCTCTGAGGTACAATTGCAGCTGCTCCCAGCATTCCCAACGGGCTCAACACAGTGTAGAGAAATGTGCTGATGAGCTGGAACTGGAATCCAGGGGGTTTGGGGGCTGCAAGGTCTGTGACTAGGAGCAAGTCAGTTCCCTCCCTGGGCCTGTTGTCTGTCCCCCAAAACAGGAACAATACCAACGCCTTAACTCCCTTGTACAGTTGGAGCCCTGGGGATAAAAAGGCTCTTGTAAATTCTACAACAAGAGCGAAACCTCCCGGTTTGTCAGGATAAAAAAAGCCTAAAGAGAAAGGGGGAGGGTCCCTGCTTCTTAGTAACGCACGTAGGCGATTTCAGAGCTCAAGTTCATGGAAACAAATTGAATTACGGAGGAGGCAGCTCTGCCATTTGCAACTATGGATTGTTTGAAATCCTTTTAGAGGAAAATTAAAATATTTCACAGAGCGTAATAAAATGCTGGGTGTTTTTCAGGCACGACTGCTCAACTCTCTTGGGCAAATAAGTAATTAGGCATTTTTATTTAAGTTTTCCGTGTCGTCATGTTCTTTCATTAGTGGAGAGGGAAAGAAACTGTTGTGGAAAATACATAAAACTCTGGAAATCACCAGAAAGTTAATTATGAAATTGTGAAAAAAATCTATATATCTCTATTTATAGGTTTGGTTTTTTTTAACACAACATAACAGCATGCTGTAAAAGACAAAGAGAAGCTCTTAGAATGTATTTTCCCAAATGTCAGAAATGGGAGGCTGTGGGAAAGATTCGTCTGCTTCCAAGTAAAATCCCATCAAGGAGATTGGGATCAGGAAGCCTTCCCGGGCTATGATACCTATGTGTGGCCGTGGGAGCTGGAGAGCTGACCACGCCCTGAGGGACCTCTGGCTCTTCCTCACCCCACCCTCCCTCCTTGTGGCCCACTTGAAGGAAAGGGTTGATTTCCCTCTGAGCTAGAAGTCATCTGCCCCAGCCTCTCCATTTTACAGGTGGGTAAACTGAGGTCCTAGGGCTCTTTCCTTCCTGTGAACACGTGGGTCTCAGGCTCACTGTATGTGGATGCCTGTGCCCTGCGTGGTTCAGGTCTGCTCCACAGCCCAAGCCCTAACTGAAGGTGGAGAGTAGGCTGGGGACATATCCAGTTACCAACCAAGGGTCCCCCAGCCTCTGTGTAGCCAGACTGTGCTGGCGACATCTTTAGTCCCCTTCTTTCCCGCCTGGGCTGCCTTTTTTGAGCAATACAAGGGAGGATAAGGATGAGGATCCAGAAGGCCCCTGTGCAAGGCTGGTCTGAGAGCCACGGAAAGCCCCTCCTGTGGGGACACAGGTGTGCGCATAGCTATTTATTCCTCTTCGCAGTCTCTCCAGGGCTTGGTTTATCTCTGGTGGCTTTTACCACCTACAAAGCCACCTCCACCCGAGTCATTGCATATTAATTGTATGTGAGTGGCATGAGCAGGCGTGTGCATTCATGGGGAGGTAAGCACACCTGCAAACCTGCACTCCCACAGCTGCAAATCTCATGTGCCCATGTAGAGGCGTCTTGGCCTTACCTGCCAACACTTGTCTCCCCCACAAGACTGATCTGCTTCAAACCATCTAGCAAAAAGTTATTAAGCACTTACTGTGTACTGGGCTCTGTGGTTCCCTGAGAACCCAGAGAGGAAGAAATACAAAAAGTGCTTTACTTAGGAGGAAACAGACCCATGAGGCAATTTTCAAACACAAGGAGCTACTTGAGCTGGTCCTTAAAGGACCAGAAATCTGCCTGGCAGAGAAAAAGAAGGGACCCTCCCAGAAGGAACAGCGGAGGTGAAGGCACAGAGGCACGGCGCAGCCACATAAGGAAGCAAGGGGTGCTGGGAGGTGCAGTTGGTGTTTTCCTGAGAGGCCCTGGGGCGGTGGTGAGTGGTTTGCAGAGGGCCAGCCCGGAACAGGTATGGAAGAGTGTACATCAAATCCATAAGGGGGAGAGAGAAAGAGGGAGGGACCAAGAGAAGGGATAAGTCATTTGCCGCTTATTCATATGATAGAATCTACAGAGCAGTTCAAAAGGAAAACACTGAGGCCAGCACAGTGGCTCACGCCTATATTCCTGGCACTCTAGGAGGCTGAGGTCAGGAGTTCAAGACCAGCCTGAGCAACACAGCAAGACCCCTTCTAGTGGAGCACTGAGCCAAGCACAGTGGCACATACCTGTCATCCCAACTACTCAGGAAGCTTGGGAGGGAAGATCATTTGACTCCCCCAGGAGTTTGAGTTTGCAGTGAGTTATAATATCACCACTGTACTCCAGTCCCAGTGACAGAGCAAGACCCTGACAAAAAAGATATAGCCAGGCATTGTGGCAGGCACCTGTAGTCCCAGCTACAGGAGGCTGAGGCAAACGGACTGCTTGAGCCCAGGAGTTTGAGGTTGCTGTGAGCTGTGATGCTACAGCACTGTAGCCTGGGCAACAGAGTGAGACTCTGTCAAAAAAAAAAAAAAAGAAGAAGAAGAAGAAGAGGAAGAGGGAGAAGAAGGCAGGCAAAGAAGAAGAAAACAAACCAAAACACATATTCTTGCTTTTAGCTCTTGGTTCTTAAAAAAAAAGAAAAAGGGAACACATTGGAGCCATAAAAATGAATGGCTCTCAAAAGCAGAATGGAGTAAAGCTAATCGCAGGAGAATACAGTCTCCCCATATGAGGCGTGCAGCGTGCACGACAGCCCTCCAGGTGCACACAGACGTGGCGCATTGTGTTAAACTGCATCAAATTGCTCACGTGTCCATTTTTGACATACACAAGTAGCATTTTCAACTGATTCAACCTAAATCAACATCACGAGGAACAACCTGTCCATTCCCGGGAATATTACTCAGCAATCAAACGGAACAAGTTATTGTCACATGCAACAGCTCACCTGGATCTCAAGAGGGTTATACTGAGTGAAAATGCCAATCTCCAAAAGTCACGTGCTGTATATTCCTTTTATATAACCTGCTGGAAATGATGAAAGCCTGGAGGTGGAGAACAGATTAGTGGTTGCTGGGGCCAGGGAGGGGAGGGGAACAGGGAGGTGACAGCAGCTATAAAAGGGTGGTGCAGGGACCCTTGTCCTGGCTCTTGACTGTGGTGGGGATGACAGAATGTGATACCATTGCATAGAAAATACACACACGTGCCTGCATGTGCACACAGATGAGTGTACGCAGAGCTGGTGAAATCTGAACAAGGTCCATTTTATTATGTCAGCGTCACTGTCCTGGCTATGACATTGTACTATGGTGATACAAGTTAGCATTGGAAGAAACTAGATGAAGACTGTGTCACATCTCTCTGTATTATTTCTCATTACCTGGGTCTACAGTCATCTAAAACTAAAAAGTTAGAATGTACACTCAGTACTGATCAATGCCAAATTTAAGGTAGAGATTGTTTCTGGGTCATGGGGTGAGTTACACAGGTCGGGAGAGGGATGCAGAGGGGATTCAATGGTATCTGTAATGTTTCAACTCTTTCAAAAGAAAAATCTGAAGCGAACATGGCGTCATGTTAGGATCCTACAAGGCTGGATGGGAAGTACACATCTGTCTGTTGTACCATTCCCTTATCTTTTTTATATGTGAAATAATTCATGATTTTTCAAAAGCTGATCTTGCTTAACCGGCGGCAGGACTAGACCCGGGATAACTGGCCTGGAGGTGGATGGAGTGGGCCCAGGGCTTCGGGAGGGCTCAGTCCCCACTCCACAGGCCACCGGTGGCAGCCCCAGGGCCTCCGGGGCAGCAGGACAGGGAGCTCCCCCAGAGCAAGCCCTGCACCTCCGTGTGAGCCACTCTCACCTCTCTTTGCAGCCCCCGGAGAAGGAGGGCGCCCTGCCCCGGCAGGTGGGCAACAAGACGGAGTGCGGCCTGCTGGGCTTTGTGCTGGACCTGAAGCAGGACTACGAGCCCGTGCGCACCCAGGTGCCAGAGGAGAAGCTGTACAAAGTGTACACCTTCAACTCTGTGCGCAAGTCCATGAGCACCGTCATCAAGCTGCCGGATGAGAGCTTCCGCATGTACAGCAAGGGCGCATCTGAGATCGTGCTCAAGAAGTAAGCAGTGGGCAGGGCAGGGAGCTGGGGACGTCCAGGTCACACAGCACTGACTGCCCTCCAAGCTGGGCCTCAAAGCCTGCCCCAGCTGGAATGGCCACCTAGGCACAGAGAGGGCCCTGCCCAAGGTCCCCTACCAAGACTCGCCTCCAGGGCTCCTCGCCAGCTGCTTTTTCTACTATATCCCCTTAAAAATTTCTATAGACAAGGGCCGGGCATGGTGGCTCATGCTTGTAATCCTAGCACTTGGGAGACCAAGGCAGGTCGATTGCCTGAGCTCACAGGTTCGAGACCAGCCTGAGCCAGGGTGAGACCTCTAGCCGGCTTGTGGCAGGTGCCTGTAGTCCCAGCTACTTGGAAGGCTAAGGCAAGAGAATCACTCATGTCAGCGGTTCTCAACCTGTGGGTCGTGACCCACAGGCCCTGTATTAAGAGCTGTGCCATTAGGAAGGTTGAGAACCACTGGCTTAAGCCCAAGAGTTTGATGTTGCTGTGAGCTGTGACACCATGGCATTCTACCAAGAGTGACCAAGTGAGACTCTATCACCAAAAAAAAAACCAATTTCTATAGACAGAGTGTCCTCCCCCAGGTCCTCCCAGAGTCACTGGATCATCAGGAATTTCTACCCATTATCATACTCAGGTCTCTCTTATTTCACTTCCCTCAGGATAGACTCAGTCAATGGTAACTATTGTCACTATCAGCCCAGCTCATCTGATTCCAGGTGCCAGAAATAAACCTGGAGAACTAAACTGGTCACTTCTCCTGGGGCCTCAGTTTCCTCATTTGTACAATGAGGGGATTGGCCCCAGCTTACACACTGGAATCACTCCAGGGAGCTATTAAAGAAACACTGATTTCTGGATTTATCCCAGATAGATTGAATGGGAACCTCTGGGGTGGGGTTCACATATGGGTCGTTATTAATTGCTCCCCCAAGTGCTTCTAATGGTAGCCCACATTTTATGTCCTTGGCAAACTGGTTTAGCTGTGGAACTGCTTTTTCGGATGACAATTTGTAAACATATAACGGAGGCTGCCAATTTCACATGCCTGGGCCCCATTGGGGAGGCAGGGGAGGCACCGCAGTTAGGAGGAAGGCTCCCTGGGCTCCTCATCTCTCTCCCTTCTCCCCAGATGCTGCAAAATCCTCACTGGGGCGGGCGAGCCCCGAGTCTTCCGGCCGAGAGACCGGGACGAGATGGTGAAGAAGGTGATAGAGCCCATGGCCTGCGACGGGCTCCGCACCATCTGCGTGGCCTACCGCGACTTCCCCAGCAGCCCCGAGCCCGACTGGGACAACGAGAACGACATCCTCAATGATCTCACCTGCATCTGCGTGGTGGGCATCGAGGACCCTGTGCGGCCCGAGGTAGGCCCCCTGGGGCCAGCAAGCTCAGGGGGAGTGGGGTGAGGCCAGGAGTCCAGCCACCAGCTAATCTGGAATAAGTCACCTCACCTCTCTGAGCCTCAATTTCCACACAGCACCTGTGTGGTCCTACCTGATCCTAAATTCACACTCATCAGACCAGTGTAGGTCACACTTGGCACTGGTCCACTGAGACAGACACAGACGGAATCACAGGCTACAAACAGGTGTTGCTCTTCCCCAAGGGACAGTCCTAGACAGTCTACCCAGCCACCAGAAGCTCTTCCCTCTGGTCCTGCAAGGGACAGATGTAGGAACTGCCCTGCTTTAGAAGCCTTCTGCTCCACAGGAACCAGCAGCTCTTGTAATACATCCATAGGTCTAGATTCCAAGGTCCTTGCAGAGAACACACCCAGGAGTGATCGCACTCAGGAGGACCCAGTGTGGCACCTCAGCCCAGTGTAGTCTACCGATCAGTTTAGCCTGGCAAGCCTGCCAGGAGCTGACAGCCTCCCTTTATCAGTTTCCAGGGGACAGAGCTGGTAAGTGCAGAAGGGAAAAGGGGTGACAGAACCCACCTCACAAGGACCAAGGAGGTAATGCCTATGAATGCACCTGGTGGGGTCCTCAGCTCACAGCAGGTCATCAGTCTCCTTTAGCTGGCTCTGCACCTGTGGGGAAGACTGAGCATTCGAGTGCTGGAGGCTTGCAGGGTCAGGTACAAAAAAGGGAAAGGGGCCAGGCACGGTGGCTCACATCTGTAATCTTAGCACTCTGGGAGGCCAAGGCAGTGGATTGCCTGAGCTCAAGAATTCAAGACCAACCTGAGCAAGAGTGAGACCCCATCTCTATTAAAAATGGAAAAACTAGCTGGGCATTGTGGCAGGCACGGAGGCTGAGGCAGGAGGATCTCTTGAGCCTAAGAGTTTGAGGTTGCTGTAAGCTATGACACCAGGGCACTCTAGCCAGCATGACAGAGTGAGACTCTGTCTCAGAAAAGGGGGGGAGGGCAAGAGCTGTGAGTGACAGGTGGGGGGAGGAGCCTGAGAGGGGCTGAGCTAGGGCCCTGGCATTCTCTGTCGATAACATGGTCATCCAGAGAAGTGGGTTTCACATACAGACTATGGGGGAGGGAGGCCTGGAACCAGCCCCAACTTTATCACTGACAAGCCACTTCCCCACAGTGGGCCTTAGTCATTCATCTCTGAAATAGGAGCTTGGCCCAGGGGTCCCTCAGGCCCATCTCTGACATCCTTAGACCAGAGCCTGCTGGCTGGAAGCCTCACCCTCCCATCTCCTTCAATTCCGTTGGTCAGTGCTTCCCTGCTGGCGACCTTGGGCCATCTCCAGAATGCACATTTAAAAATTATAAAGCATACTTGAGAGCAGTGACTTACTTGAGTGACAGAAGAGTTAAGGGACATGGGCTGCAGTCCTGCCCTGCCACTCCCTCACAGAAGGCTCAGGTGTGTCGCTTCCCTGGGCCTGTGTCCCCACCGGAAAGCTGAGAGGGACTGCCCCGCATCCAGGAGCGAGCAGCACAGCACAGTGTCGGCAAAGCTGCTAGAATGCATGAAAGCTCAGACCTGTCTAAGCAGTGGGATGGGGATGGACACGGGGCCTGAGGAGGTTGGCGGGTTTACATCTTTATTTGTTTCCTGAGGAGAAGTAATTCATGCCACCTCTAGCCCCCTGCCCATTTCCCACCTCTAAGGGAGCCCGTGTTTTGGCTGACAGGCCTCCAGGGACTTTCTGTGCCTATAGTGGCCATGTTTTTGCCGAGCTCTCCCAGGTTCTGTCCTCTTGGGCTCATCCCACCTCACAGATTTCTTTGTCACCCTGGCTTGATTCTCATGGGTGAACCCCCTAGTGAAGCTCAGTGGGAAGGAAAACCTCAGCCGGGACCACCTCTAGGGTCCTACAGACATGCTCAGATTCACTTTGCGACTGCAGGAAAACAATCTCCGCCTCCCTTGGTGTCCCCGCCTGTCCCCGGCCAGGGCTGCATCTCCACATCACCTTCCTCCCCCGAGATGACCAAAGGCCAGAGCAGATCAAAACACTCCACCATAATTCCCTGCAGCAGGCCCCTTTTATGAGGCTGATTGAAGCCAGTGCCGATAAAGCCACCAGGAGAGCCACGGGCTGAGATTTGCTGGGTTATCCGGGGGTGTTTGGAGCCCTTGGAGTCACAGACAACGGCTGTCACCAGAAACAACAGATGTTTAAAAGCCTTTATTTAATGAAAACAGGAAGCACCCATTCCCTGGCTTCTCCTCCTCAGGGAGAAAAATATCTAGGATAATTTTAGCAAAAGAAGTTGTTCTTTTCCCCTAAATTTGTTTATTTATTTATTTTTAATTTCACAGCGATTCTGTGTATGGGGAAAGCATATTTGAACCAGATCAATGCTTCTGGGGCTTGAGTCTTAAATCATCTCTGGATTGTCAGTGCTCAGCATAGTTAGATGTTCAATAGCTGTTTGTGCAATAAGTGAATGGTGAGCAAATAAGAAGGTACTGAGAACAGTTCATAGGGACAGGCCACTGGGTCAGAGGAATCCAGAGTGGCCTCTTGCTCAAAGAGACTTTCACCTGTAAGTGGAACAGATCTGACATGTAGATTTCGAGGAAGGGGGGCCATGTCAGGTGGAGGGGACAGCATGAGCAGAGGCAGGAAGGTACCATGGAATGCTGAGTGTTTACAGAGCATTCAATAACCCTGTTGCATTTATGAGAGAAAAGACTAGAAAGAAAACTTGAAGCCAAGTTGGGAAGGGTTTGCATGTCCCTGTCCTGTGCATGGTGCCATTTGTGGCTTGTCCCAGAACCCTCCCAGCCTTACTGAAGGGTGGGCACTATCATCCCCATTTTACAGAAGAGAAAACTGATGCTTGTGTGGGAGCCCAGGGCAAAGCCTGGCCCAGCCTTCTGCTTCTCCAAGCCCTCTTTCCATGAGGCAAGGAAGCCTTCATCATGCAGAGAGTCCATAAAAATTAGCCTACCTTTTCTCACAGAGCCAACTTGTTTGGAGAGGCCCAGAGAGTGGCTGGTTTTGGCTCCCTGAGACAGTCTTAAAAGCAGGAGTCTTTCTAAAACACCAGTTACAAGCCAAGCAAGGTGGCTCACGTCTGTAATCCTAGCACTCTGGGAGGCCAAGGCAGGTGGATTACTTGAGTGCATGAGTTTGAGACCAGCCTGAGCAAAAGCAAGACCCCATGTTTACTAAAAATAGAAAAACTGAGGCAAGAGGATCACTTGAGCCCAAGTTGGAGGTTGCTGTGAGTTATGATGCCACAGCACTCTACCCAGGGTGACAGCTTGAGACGCTGTCTCAAAAAATAAATAAATAAAATAAAAAATGAAATACCAGTCACCAAAAATAAAATTGCCAGTACCAGGAACAAGTCCCTTGTTCTGATGCCTTCTGACCTGACCATAGGAAGGTACTGCTATGGCCAGCTTCATGGCCACCAGTCCTTACCCCACCTGCACCCTCAACCTCAACACCCCTCTATCACCTGCACCATGGCCCCCAGACCCAGTCACACCTCAGGCCTTGTCTGTTCCTCCTGGATGGTTCTTTTGTATTTTTTCTTTTCTTCTTCTTCTTTTTTTTTTTTTTTGAGACAGAATCTTTCTCTGTTGTCCAAGCTAGAGAGAGAGCAATGGAATCATCACAGCTCACTGCAACGTCATTCAAGCAATCCTGCAATTCAAGAGACCCCCCCTCAACCTGCATAGCCTCCCTAGTAGCTGGGACTACAGGCTCACACCACCACGTCAGCCTAATTTTTCTATTTTTTTGTAGAGACGGGGTCTCACTCTTGCTCAGGCTGGTCTCCAACTCCTGACTTCAAGTGATCCTCACGTCTTGGCCTCCCACAGTGCTAGCATTACAAGCATGAGCCACTACACCTGGCCTTGTGGACAGTTCTCTGTGGCCATGACCACTTCGTGTTCATTGTGGCCTCAGCCCCAGCACCAGAGCCTTAGCTGGCGTTGACTGAAGGGAACCAACTCAAACATCCCCTCCTTGAGGAAACTCCCTGATTTCTCCTCCCTACCCACTTCCTTCTACCATAGTGGTGCCCTCCGTGCTCACATACACTACAGTAACCGCTCTCCCAGAGCCTTTTATATACGAGTCTACCAAAGACTGCCTCGGTACAGGAGCACAGGTCTGACACAGAGTAAAACTCCATTATCTGAAAAGAAAGGTCAGCTGGAAGAATTAGCTGGACGTGTTTTACCACAGAGCAGTCAGCCTTGGAGGGAGTCGGGGCACCCTGTCATCAGAGATGTGCAAGCAGGGGCTGGCCTGGGAATGAGCAGAGGGTCAGAGTCAATGACCCAAAGTCCCTTTCAACTCTAAGACTTCAAGCATCTTCGAAGCAAACATAACCTAAATTCCTCCTTCTGGGGGCACGAGCCAGATGAGATGTGTGTCCGCAGAACTCAGCTCTTTGCTGTTCTCTGGGGCAAGAGACAGCAGGGGTACAGCCCAGGTGATAGCCGTTATGGGGACATCAGTAAGTTATGTAAATAGACTTTCCACGTCCCCACTCCCTCCAGCTTTGTTAAAAGAGGTCACATTTAGTTATGTGAGCAGCCTCAATGGTACAAGGCAGAGGCCTTGCTCATGCGGCCCTCAGACCCTGAGCAAGAACAAGGCAGCCCCTCCCCAGACCCTGGAAATAAACCCCAGAGTGGACCTGTGGTCAGCTAGACCTTCTCTAACCATTCGATGATAAGGGGATCACTACTGGTCACTGCAGAGCCAGTCTTAGACAGCGTCAGTAGCTGAAGAGGCTGCTTTACCGAGACACAGACCCTGCCCCTCCAGGACCTCCATTCCTCTACCACTAGACGGCCATGCTTAAGAGCTGGGTGTCCTCTTGCAAGAGTCATGGGGGAGCCTCCGAAGGAGGGCAACCCCACAGGCTGAGGCTGAGAAAGATGGCTGGTGGCCAGGGTACAGAAGAGGCAGAAGGCCAGAGGCGGGGAGACCAGAGGGGGTCTGGGCAGCAGCTCTGCTTGAGATGGTGGGTAGGGGCCAAAGGAACAGCAGCTGGTGCAGATAGGGTGGACACAGGCAAGATATTTTCAAGGTCAATCCTTGTTTTCTTACAATTCCTGAGAGAGAGAAGGGACCAGTAGGCAGGAGTTGTCCACAGTCAGGTTTTGGAGCAATGTTTCAACTCTTTCTTCGTATCAGTTTCCAAAGGCTGCCATAATAATGTCACACAAATGGAGTGGCTCCAATGGCAGAAATTTGTCATATCATAATTCTCGAGGCTGGAAGTTCATCCCTTTCTGATCAAGGTGCTGGCAAGTGTGGCTCCTTCTGAGGCTGTGAGGAGAATCTGCGGCAGGCGCCTCTGCCAGCTTCTAGTGGTTGCTGGCATCTTCAGCGTTCCTTGGGGCAGCACCCCAATCTCTGCCCTCATCATCACGTGGCACCTCTCTTGCATATCTTTGTGTCCAAATTTCCCCTGTGTAGGGACGCCAGTGACAGTGGATTAGGGCGCACCCTGATGAACTCATTTTAACTGGATGACTTCTGTGAAGACCCTTTCTCCAAGTAAGGTCACATTCACAGGTCCTGGGAATTAGAACTCCAGCATACTTTTTTAGGGGAGTCACAATTCACCTCCTGCAGTCTTCAGACTCTCTCAGCAGTGGCTTGGTGCGATGGACACAAGAGTGAGCTCTTGTCACCAGGTGTGCACGAGCAGTGGGGAGTAGGACTCAGCCCTTCCAGGCCTGAGAGTCTAACATGCTTTGATCTTCCTGTAAAACAGGATTTTCCTCCTGACATGCTCTTTCTCAGTCAAAGATGTTTTATAGCAAATATTTTATTACCTGTGATTGCCCAGGGTAAGAATCATTTGTTCAATTGATTTGTGTTGTATAGAAAAGGACTATAGCAGCCCCAGGCTAGGTTTTGTATCCTGTTTGCTGGGTAGACCCCCCCCCAGCTCTGCACAGGGGTAGCTACTGAGCCATAGTAGGGTACAGTGGCTAAGTCTGATGTGGCCTGATTGGCTCAGACATCTATCTGTCATTATAGTCAGAACAGGACTCAGTCCTTATCATCCCAGTGAAATGGCATATTTCACATGAAGCATAGTCATTCATATTTATTCTGAACCAGTGTCATATTCTGTGAGTCCCTCTGGGACCCAGCTCCTCCAGGAAACAATAGGCCTGGTCTGGGCCTGTGTGGGGCCCCGGACTCAAGGCTTGAGGGCCAAATGGGGCCCACAGATGCAGATGTGTCCCCAAGAAACTGAAAATACACAAATAGATTTATAATCAACGAGCTTGCAGGAACTACATGTGTGGATGAAGCAGGGACAAGTTCATACACAGGAGTGGAGTGCTCTGCACTCGTTCCTGGGAAGTCTTCACCCAGGTCAGGACAGCCAATGGTTTGATCTCAGGACAGACTGTCATGGTCAATAGGGGATGGGTGCCTGAGACTCTGTGCTGAGAGTCATTCATCAGGGTTTAATCAAGAGGATACTGTGATCGATTAACAATGTCTGCCATGGACACAGGAAGGGAGGCTGTGGCCCATGTGCTGTGTGTGCCGTCAGTATCTTGTGCTCATCTAGTCCCCTTTCTATGGAGCTGCCTGTGAGGAGGGCTCACTCTGGAATCCACGAAGGCAGGGAGGGGCTGCTCGAGGCGTGCCCTCCCCCATGGCTCCTGCCCTCCTGCCCAGGTCCCAGAAGCCATCCGCAAGTGCCAGCGGGCAGGCATCACAGTCCGCATGGTCACTGGTGACAATATCAACACGGCACGGGCCATCGCCATTAAGTGTGGCATCATCCATCCTGGGGAGGACTTTCTGTGCCTGGAGGGCAAGGAGTTCAACCGGCGGATCCGCAATGAGAAGGGGGAGGTATGTGTCCCACCATAAAGAGTCCACAGAGGGACAAGCTCGGGTGGGGGGCAGAGAGGCATGGATGCTGCATGATTGAACAGAAGCCAGCCAGAATGCCTCTATGAGCATTCTGTGACTCTGGCCAAGTTCCCTCCCTTCTCTGGGCCTCAGTTTCTCTCCCAGACCCCGCCAACTTGCTCCCTCCCCCATACTTCTCCAGATTGAGCAGGAGCGAATCGACAAGATCTGGCCAAAGCTGCGGGTGCTGGCTCGCTCCTCCCCCACAGACAAGCATACCCTGGTCAAAGGTAAGACTTGGGCAGGCACAGGTGATGCTGAGCCCCAAAACCAGGCTGGAAGCCAGGCCCCCCTCTCCCGCACTTGAGCCCCAGGAAGGATGGGGCTCCTGTGATTCTCCACACCCGGACAGCCATATGTCATACTCTTTTCAGCCTTGGGAGGTCTGTTGAGGGCCAGAAGGAAAGAGGGGGCAGTGAGTCTTCTCTCTGGGCTCCCAGCGCCTCCAGGAAGCAATAGGCCTGGGCTGGGCCTGTATGAGGCCCCAGACACAAGGCTCAAGGGCCAAATGGGGCCACAGACTGTTTGAATGTTGAGTCTGAATGACTTTATTTTCTTTTTTTGTATTTTTAATTTGTTGTTTCAGGTTGAGGGTACAAAGAATTAGGTTACAATGTTTGCATGTGTTAGATAGAGTCCTTCATATAATTATGTCCTGTCCCCAAGAGGTGTGCCATACACCCTAACATTGTGCCCATCAAGCGGGAGCACACCCATCCCCCTCTCCCCTCCCTTTTCCCTGCTCCCCACTCCTCCTCCCCATTTAATTTATTTGAGTTTTTCTCTTGTGTGGGCGTGTATTAGAATGTCTGCTGGCTTCATATTAGTATGGAGTACACTGGATACTTGCTTTTTCGTCTTACGATGCTTTACTAAAAAGACTGTGTTTCAACTCCACCCAGGTTGATAACAAAAGATGTAAAGGCTCCATCTTTTTATGGCTGAATAGTATTCCATGGTACACGTACATATACCACAGTTTGTTCATCCATTCCTGGGTTGGAAATCTGAATGGCTTTAGACAGACCCTTCTCTCCCCCACTTGACCCGGTCTTCACCACTCCTCACTGTCTGACACTCTGCCCACTCCATTGCTTCTCCATCTGGCTCGAGCGCTTATGAGTTTCCAGCTTGGTCTGCCTGGTCTCTGAGGCCCCCAACCAACATCTATGACCAGGACCCTGCGATGAGCTATCGGTGCTATATATGCCATCAGTGTCCTGTGCTCATCTAGGCCCCTTTCCACAGAACTGCCCGTGAGGGCTCACATTGGGATCCAGAAACCAGGGAACGGCACCTGAGAGATGAGGCCAAAAACCAAAGTCCTTCTCCCTCCCCTCCACCTGCAGAGAGGGGCACACCACCTGCTGAGCCTAGGTGGATGGGCTCTGAGCACTGTTAGAGTCACACAGTCCTGGCTCCACCGTGAGCTGCTCTGTGGCCGCAGGCAAGTCCCTCCACTCTGGCACTCAATTTCCCCATCAGGGAAATGGCTGTGGTGGCAGGTTTCCACCTGAGATCATCCCTAGGCATCTTAGATTCCTCTCTCAAAGTTGCTACCCAAGGATGTTAGCAGAGGCAGATCTGGCCTGGGGACAAAAACTCAGACCCCAGAACCCAGACACTGGAGCAGAAGGCCCCCAACCCATTATTATTCACTCACTCTTCCCTCCATAACCATTTATCAAGGATCACAGAGAGTTGCAAACTCTGCCGTGAGTGACACAATCTCTTGGGGTTCATGGGCCAGGCTCCATCCAGAAGAGAGAGCCACAGGCTGTACTGCTGGCCTCCAGCTGGGGCTAGGGAGGTGTCAGGTCACCATGGAAGGGTCATTGAAGCTGGGGCACCAGGGTTTGTAAGGGTCTGTGTTGGGGGCAGGGAGGGAACTGATCTGTGAAGGCCCAGGGACAAAAGACTCCCAGGTGCCTTCAAGGGTGTAAAGAAGTTCATTTGGGCAGACTGGGATCTCAGGGTGAAAGAGGGAAGCCAGAGAGGACTGGGGAAGATGTGGTAGTGGCAGATCCTGCAGGGCCACCAACACCTGCCAAGGGCCCCTGGCTGTGACCTGCACTGTGACCCCAGGCTTAGGAAAGCGAGAGGGTCCTGGGGTTGGGAGAAGCATCGTCATTTCAGAAAACCTCCCACGCAATGCAGAGAGTGGCCTGGTAGAGAGGGACCAGCAGGACCGTCCAGCTTTAGCAGTGCCACCTGCCCTGAGCTACCTGTTGACAGTGCCAGTAACGCTGGCAGTGGCAGCGGGTCTGAGAGATACCTGGCAGTGGTTGGGAGATGTTTTAGAGGGGCTGGGGGCACCCTACTGGGGAGCCTTCCTGGTGCCAGGATGCTCCTTGGCATTTGAGTGGGCAGCTGGGGTTAGGAGTCACAGATGAGACACACTTGATGCATTTGGGGCTCTCTGACATCCAAGTGCAGCTGTTGGGAAGCTAGACATCCAGACAGGGGGCCAAGACCTGGGTGGTACATGTGAGAGGGAGAGGGAAGCTGTTAAGCCTAAGGGCTGCCCACTGCCTGCCTGGGTGAGGACAGAGAACCCACCCGAGGAGACCCAGGGGAGGCAGCCAGAGGAGCAGGAGGATAGCCCGGCGAGATGATGTCCATGAAGGAGGCCTGTGGAGGAGGAAGGTGTGCTCCACCGTGGGAATAGCTGCAGAGAGGCCTGCAAGGCCAGGACAGAGATGTGACCACAGGGGGCAGCCACAGGAAAGCCCTGTGACTATGCACAGCAGGGCCAGGCCAGGTTAGAGGAGGGCAGGAGGGCCTGGGGCCTCTATTGGGAGAGGGGCTGTGCAGAAGCTGCTGCCACCCAGGAGCCACAGAGAAGAAACTCTACCTCTCCCTGCCTCGGAGGAGCACCCAGGCAGGCCGAGGGAACCAGGGGGACGAGCCTGGAGGCTGAGGCCAGGAAAGGCCTAATGTGGGAGCTCAGGGCTAGGAACAGCCCAGGATGATCCCCGAGTACACATGGCAGTGGGCTGGGCCTGCAAGAGGGTGGAGTGGCTGAGAGGACAGGGCACAGACTCTCAATCAGGGGGCACAGGGATGGGGAGACACACAGAGGCCAGGCGAGGGAAAGTGCAGTACAGATGTGTGACAGAGGAGTACATCTGTTGAAGGAACACCCTGTGTGGGACGAGGCAGCCCTGTAGGACAGCAACTGTGAGCACAGACCAGAAATGCAGCCAGGGCCAAAAGGAGAAAAGAGGTCAGAGGGGGTGATGCCTGGTCACAGAGGACTTCTAAGCTGAGCTAACAACGCAGATGTTATCCGGAGGCTGAGGTGGACATAGGAGAGTGACATTCTGGCTGTAGGATAGGGAATAGGTTCAGGTGCAGGTGCTGGAGAGAGATCTTGGGGTTGTTAGAAGGGGCGCCCAGAGAGATGCTGGTAGCAGAGAGGGTGGGGACAGAGAGAAGAGTTTCAGCAGGATTCCGGAGCCAGAGTCACCAGGCCTCAGTGGTTCATTTGTTCTGCAGAATAAGAGAAGGACCTGTCAAAGTTGACACCTAAATTCCTGTCTTGCCCATGGACATCTCTGCCTGGACCCCCATGAGTGGCGGGGAGTCCCACAAACTCCACAGGCCCCTAGCAATGACATCTTTCACCCACCCTTCTCCACTGGCCCCTGCCCAGTGACTGGGGATGCATGTCATCTGGTCATTCTGTTATGTGGTGACTTCTTTATTGAAGATGCTTGTCTGGAGAGAGGTCAAGGCCAGAATGGTGGGGCGGAGGTCACTGGCAATGGCACAACCAGGGCCTCCTTGAGCAAGACTAGACTTCCCAGGGAGGAGGTGCTGGAGGGGTAGATTTGGCACCTTGCTGAAGCCCTTAGAGGCCCAGAGAGGTGGAGGCACCCCTAAATACAGGTAGAGGGGACAGTGTTTCTGGTTAGTGTGGCTACCAGTGAGACCAAGGGCTGCAGAGAGCAAAGAGGGTGCTGGAGAGAGGAGCAGACCCCAGGCCACAAAGGGGCTCGGGCCAGCAGGGGTCTAATAAGGTGCCCAGCTCACCCTGTAAGTGCTGGCAACTATTGGCCAGCCCAGAGCTGGGAAGAACTACAATGGGCGGGGGTGACAAGACAGGGCCCAGAGAAGAGGCCGTGCCCAGCACAGGGCCCTCCAGGGGACTAGTACTGGCCCAGGCTGTGCCCACCACGGTGGCCCAGGGCCCTGAGCACACTCCTGCCCCCATAGGCATCATCGACAGCACACACACGGAGCAGCGGCAAGTGGTGGCCGTGACAGGGGATGGGACCAACGACGGGCCTGCCCTCAAGAAGGCTGATGTGGGCTTTGCCATGGTAGGAGCTGCTTGCAGGGGGCCTGGGGTGGTGGTTGGATCTCATAGGCAGGGGTTCGAATGGCTTGAACTGGCCACGTGGATCTCTGGTTCACACTTGGCCTGCCCGCCATCTGTCTTGTGCATGCCCAGTGATCTGGAGGCTCAGCCTAGACCCCAAGGTCTTCCTGGAAGGCTGCAGGGTGGCTGCTTGCTGGCGAGAGCTTTGGAAAGAAGGGCACTTGCAAGTTGGGGAGGAGAAGGGACTGGACTAGGCCTTGTGAGAGCAGAGAGTTGGCTCAGGGCCGATCTGTGAGGGGATGAAAGCAAGGATGTCCCTGTGCGGTCTGGTTGTGCTGGGCCCATTGGATGTGTACATGGGGGTTGTGTGGTAGTGAGGATATGGAAGGGGTGAGGATGGTGGTGCTAGAGTCACTCACATCCCCCGGCTGCCCCACCCAGGCCCCTGTCCCTGTCCCCGCAGGGCATCGCAGGCACTGACGTGGCCAAGGAGGCCTCAGACATCATCCTGACGGATGACAACTTCAGCAGCATCGTCAAGGCAGTGATGTGGGGCCGAAACGTCTATGACAGCATCTCTAAGTTCTTGCAATTCCAGCTGACAGTCAACGTCGTAGCTGTGATTGTGGCTTTCACAGGAGCCTGCATCACACAGGTGGGTCCTCAGGGAGGCATAACAAAGCCTTGAGGAGGGCAGAGGCCCCTACAAGGACCTGGGGCCTTGGCACACCCCAAGTTGTCCATGTCAGAACACCCAGGGGCGTGATGCCCATGGATGGAGCACCTGCTGGGGGACAGGAACTGCATCACAGACCTCAGGTGCAAGGCTCCAGCCCTGGTGGGGTCGGGAAATGAGGCTCAGAGAGGGGATATGACTTGCTCAAGGTCACCCAACAGATGTGTCAGGTTCACACCCCGGTATGCCTGGCCCAGGAGCTGAGAAGGCCCAGGGCTGAGAAGGAAGGCAGGGCCAGAGGGTAACAGGGGCGGAGCAGGGTCCAAGGGGGATCAGGAGGCCAGCTGAGGGCAAAGAGATAGAAGGGCCTGGGGGGATTGACCCTGGTGTGGAGTGTGGCTCAGGAGATGCTGGGTGAAGGCAGGGGAGGGGAGTGTCAGGGCTCTGTCTCATGGGGCGTCAAGGAGCATTCTGGTCAGATCACCTTGTCTGGGTCCCAAGCAGCCCCATGCACTGAGCCTCGCAGGCAGGCCCCAGAAGTCTGCAGACTTACTGCCCCTTCACCCCAGCCCTATTTGAGGTGGGAACTGTGATGATCCCATTTTACAAAGGGAGAAACTAAGGCTCAGAAGATGGACCAGCCAGGCACCTGCCATTGCTCCCACAGCCTCCTGGTGCCTGGCTAGCCTGCCTCCCACAGGGGCTGACCAGTCTGACCTGGGAAGGAAAGGGTGGCCCCCCGGAGAATCCCTGAGGCCTGACACCTCCCAGCAGCTACGTGGGTAGACAAGCCCTGACCACAGGAGCCCTCAGAGGCACAAGTGCAGCATCGACTCAGGAGCTGTGGGGCCCCAGAAGACTGCTCCGTCTTTGCATCTGGAGCCTGGGGGTGTACATGGCAGGTCCCTCTACCCAGCCTCCAAAGTCAGCTCTGGTGGATGTGGCTGGGGTTCCCTTCTGCTCTGTGGGCCCTTCCTCCTGGTCTCTGGGAAAGAGGCTCCCTCTAGAGGCAGCTGGAGGGACACTCCCGTGACAGCAGCAACTTGGGGTTTTCTTGAAGACCAACAGGTCTTGATGCCAGATAGGGAAACTGAGGTTCTGAGATAACTATCAGTTTGCCTGAAATCTTCAGTTGAGTTGGTGGCAGGACCACACAGGGCACTGGTAAGAAAACACGTGGACATAACACTGAGGCACATGGAATCAGAGAAGGCTGAAGGGCAGGAAGAAGCTAAGGGGTGGGGAGGCTGCCTCCAGCTCCGGGCCTGGGGAGCAAGGCTGAGCCTGGAAGAAGTGGGCTGTGGTGAGCACATGGGAGGTGAGTGGGGGTATAGGGTGCAGACACAGGAGCACTGAGGTAGAGCAGAGGTGCAGTTGAACTTACAGGGTCCGTGGGCTTCCTGGAGGGGGCGCTCCATAGGCCACCAGGTGGATGAGACCAGAGCCACAGAGGGAGGTCTGGGTTGAAGAGAGGCCACCTAGGGGAAGATGGGTCCCCAAAGCCAGGAAACAAGTGTCAGCACTTCCATGGGAGGAAGGAGGACGACCAGGAAGGTGGGACCGGGAGTACAGCAGCAGGCGGTGAGGCCGTGAGACAAGGCTGGAGAAGGGCTCCCTCAATTTGTGACATGGAAGTCGATGGTGACCTTGGAAAAAATCGTTTGGGAGGTGTGGAGGGGCCAAAATCTAGCTGGTGTGGACAAAGCATGCAGGGATGTGAGGAAGGAAGAAGGCATGTGGATCCAGTGCCTTTGGGCCATGTAGACCATGTGCTGTGATTGTGTGCGGAACAATCAGAGCAGCATGATCCCCATCTCAGCCAGAGAGGAGGGTCTGGAGGGATCCCTAGCAGCAAGTAGACCGTGGCAGCCTCCCAGTGGGAAGATCCTTGATGAGTTTTAGCTACTTCAGCTATTCCTTACTTGTCAAAATTTCCTACCATGAAAATGCATTATTTTTTTGAATCATCAATGTACAGTATAATTTTTTAAGGTAAGGTAGGGTTATCAGAGGCAAGGAGAAATTGGGGGACAGGCCTATGGGCATTATGGACAGGATAGGAGAGACCAAAGGAGGCAGCTGCAGACGGCAGGGTGGGGACCTGTGAGGAGACAGGGCGGGGCTTTGGGCGGTAGTGGGGCGGGACTTGTGGTGGGGGCAGGGCAGGGTATTGGCTTTAGGTGATAGAGACCCCGCCTTAGGGGCTGAGGTAAGAGGGCGAGAGCCACCTCACCTCGAGGAAAGGCAAGGAGTTGGTGGCCATCAGGCCTGGGGGACTGTTTTCTCTTGGGGGGGCAGGTCTATGCTGTTCTCAGAGAAGGCGTCCGAGAGTCTGCTCCAGACCTGCTCAGGAACCTGGGGGCGTAGGCAGCCTCTAGTCCTAACCCTCTCCATGGCCGCTGTCCCCAGGACTCCCCTCTGAAGGCCGTGCAGATGCTGTGGGTGAACCTCATCATGGACACGTTTGCCTCCCTGGCATTGGCCACCGAGCCGCCCACAGAGACCCTGCTCCTGAGGAAGCCCTATGGCCGCAACAAGCCCCTCATCTCGAGGACCATGATGAAGAACATCCTGGGCCATGCTGTCTACCAGCTCACGCTCATCTTCACCCTGCTCTTTGTTGGTGAGTCCACAGCCCACCCATCCCTGTGTGGCAGAGTCACTGCCTTCTGGGTACACCAGGCTCAGACCCAGTGTCCTCCTAGTCCAGAATGAGTTTGCCAATCTGCAGTCACCTTTTTAGAGGTGCCACCATTCCACCTTCATCAGATTAGAAGACAGTTCCCCCAAGGTCTCTGTCCGCTTAGAGGAGAAATGGTTTTGCTAACCCTTGGCTTGTACCAACCAGCCAACCACCCTGCCCCACAATGTCCAGATGTGCCTTCCCGTCTGGGTTATTCACCTCGCTGCTCAGAAGAGGCCCCCACGAAAGGCTGGGTGTCTCCCCCGCCACCACCCAGCCCCTGACCCCTCTCTTGGCAGGCGAGAAGATGTTCCAGATTGACAGCGGGAGGAATGCGCCCCTGCACTCCCCGCCCTCGGAGCACTACACCATCATCTTCAACACCTTCGTCATGATGCAGCTCTTCAATGAAATCAACGCCCGTAAGATCCACGGCGAGCGCAATGTCTTTGACGGCATCTTTCGGAACCCGATCTTCTGCACCATCGTGCTGGGCACCTTTGCCATCCAGGTAGCCACGCCTCCCCCCCTTAATCTGGGCTGGGGTGGGCAGTGAGCGAGCCTATTCCGATGGCCTGTCTTTTTCTTCTCTGCCCCCTGTGACCTCCAGATAGTCATCGTGCAGTTCGGAGGGAAGCCATTCAGCTGCTCTCCGCTGCAGCTGGACCAGTGGATGTGGTGCATATTCATTGGGTTAGGAGAGCTCGTTTGGGGCCAGGTAAGTTCTGGGTAGGTTGAAAGGGAAAGGGAAAGAGCACTGGACTGGGAATCCGGGAGCACCAGGAGTGGGTCCTCAGCTCTGCCACAGATATGCTGCCTGACCCCAGGCAAGACCCTCCTCATCTCTGGGTATCTGAGCAATGGGTGTTGGCCCAGGTCCCACATACTGGTCCTCTGGGTACCCCCCGTTAAGTTGTGCTTTCTATCTATGCCACTATTCCTGTTATTTACTTAATATTTTCTTTAAATCATATCAACTTTTTTTTAATTTAAGCTGATTTCAAAAAGCAACATAATATTATTACATGACTGGAAAATCAGGATTACTTGTCATAAACAAAAGCTAAGGGAAAATGGATGTAACGAGAATGATGTTATTAAACTCAACCATGGCAGCCAAGTTCAGGGCCTGAAGCCCCGTGTTAGAGAGGGGGACGAGTCTGTCGGTGCTGATGGCCTGCTGGCTCCCAGCTGGGTCCTTTAGAGGACTGAGAGGGAATGTAAGAGAGATAAACTGCCACACTGTGGTGTTACTCAGTGCCGCGCCAAGGGCCATCTGAGGTCCTCCCCAGCTTTGGGGGTCTCCAAACTGGATGCTCTTTGGGGTCCCTTCCAGCTTTGACCCTAGAAACTTCTCCCACCAAGTCCCTTCCTTACATTTGCCCAAGTTCCAGACACACACACACACACACACACACACACACAAGCTTCCAGATCCAGGACACCATGCTTGGGAGAGGCACCCAGAACCAGTCTTGAGCCAAAGGGCCTGTATTCCCCAGATGGTCAGACACCCAGGCCTTGGGGACCCCAAGGGGCCAGAGACATTGCTCTTGCCTTCATGCTGTCTCCAGGCTAGAGTGAGACACTACAGTAGCAACGATTAACTCTGAGGTAAATAAAGCTTAGTTCCATCCAAGAGGAAGTTCTTTAAACTACGGAGGATCTATGGCGAGTGGATAAACTAGATTTGACTGAGTGACCTCATTCCTTGCGTCCTCTCAGAGCCAGGCTTTATCCCACTGAGAGCTCTCAGTGACTAGGGAAAGGGACTCATAAAGACTAAGGACGAAGCCAGTGGGCAGTGCTGACCTTAAAAGTCCCACAGAACCCCTGAGACTGAATGTTCAGGACAGCCCCTCCCTGTCCCCACGGGAGATAAAGGGGCCTCTGACATCTGCCACCTCAGCTTCCTTGCAGGGCTGCCTCTCAGGCCTCAGCCCCAGGGACAAGCTCTGTGGGACAAGAGTGAAAAGGAAGGCTTACCCCCTTCCATATTGCCTTCCCACCCAGGATCGGCGGCCCCCAGAGCACCCAGGCCCTGAGCTCCTGTTCCTCAGGCTTGGGCCCACTAGGGCCCAACATCCTCAGGGGGACTTGAGGCCCTGCCATTTGCAGGACAAATTAGACATTCTACCTTACTCAATCCTCACTATGCCCAGAGCTGCCACCAGCTTTACAGCAGGAAAGTCAAGCTCAGAGAGATTAAATGACTTGCCCAAGGTCACAGGACCAGGACTGTGGGGGGATTTAATGTCTCATCTGGCCAACTCATATAAACCAAGATTTTCCACCATGTCCCCATGACTCTGGATGAGTAAGTTAGAAAGCAAATTAATAAGAACGGGTAAAAGATTGAGTTGAGGAACAGGTGAGATGGGTTAGGGAGGGAGTTAATCACCTGACGAGGTAAGCGGGTAAGAGGAGGAGGGAGGGTAGGAAGACAGACACTGGAAGGACGGCCCCATCGCCCTGATGGCTGCTTCCCTTGCAGGTCATTGCCACCATCCCGACCAGCAGGCTCAAATTCCTCAAGGAGGCCGGCAGGCTCACGCAGAAGGAGGAGATTCCTGAGGAGGAGCTCAACGAGGACGTGGAGGAGATAGACCACGCAGAGAGAGAGCTGCGGCGGGGCCAGATTCTGTGGTTCCGAGGCCTGAATCGGATCCAAACTCAGGTACGGGAGGCTCTCAGGGGCTGGGCCCAGGCCTGCTTGGGGTGGCCAGTTGATGGGGGCAGGTCAGCTTGTACCACCCCCAGGGCCCTGCTCTGGCACTGAGGGAGGTGGCCACAGAGGCAGCCTTGGAGGAGGGCTTCCGTGAGCCTGCTCAGCCCAGGCCGGGTCTCACCACCTCACCCACCTTCGTGCATCCACGTTCCCAAGATATGCTCTCATGGCTGCTAAAGAAACAAGTGGCCTCCTCAGGAATGTTTCACTGTGAGGGGTCACAGTGGGTGTCGCACCCACCATGGGTCCTGGGGGTATTCCCTGAGAGGGTAGGGAGGAGTGGCTCTGAGGGCGCAGGTGAGTGAGGAGACTGTGGCTCAGGGCTTGGGGGTGGCCCCCTGGAGGGGCAATGCAAGGCTGGACAGAAGCTGCAGGCCAGGGTTGCCCCAGGTCCTTCCCGGGCCTGCAGTCAGCCTGGTGAGGGGGATCCATCCACATGACGCACACCCTCCACTGCCTAAAGGGCCTTTGAACACACCCCAGCCTCTCCCAGGGTGAGAGCCCTGGGAGCAAAGGCTGGTTATTCCCACATGCACGACACACACATGTATACCGAGTGCACACGTGGGGAGCCCACACATGGGGTACATGCCCAGCTGGAAGCAGGTTTCTTCCCCAGAGCGCTCTGCCACGTGGCACATGTCACACCATGTGACACCCCCACAACAACCCCTATAAACCTCCAAGTCGAGACTCGGGGGTTATAAAACCAGACAGAGGAGGTCTACTTGCCATGACCCCCTGGGGAGCAGGAGCTGGGAGCTCCTCCCCACGCCCTCCACGCTGCGGGAAGGTGTCACCTTGGAAGGCATGCACCAGCTCTTCATTTCCAGAGTAGCACTGAGCCTCTCCTGGCTGCTCTCCACCCCTCAGGGCCCTGTCATCTGACCTTTCAGCCCCTGGGAAGTAGGTGTGACTAGTCCAGTCTTAGTGGTCACTGAACTTTAGGAAATGACCCTTTCTGCAGTGCTGACACAGCTGGGGAAGGACCAGGAGCAGGTTTTAGGCCTGGAGCTGCCTGCCCTGACCAGGATGCTGGCACCCAGCCCTCTGGTTGGGGCCAGGCAGCGCCCAGTGTGCACAGCCCTGGCGCTGTCCCTGCCTGGCAGCAGAGCCACACAGTGGTCTCCAAATTACAGGACGAAGCAAGGACTATAGTTTCTTGACTGGGCTGGAGCACCTATCTTGCCCGTCTCTCACTGAGTACTCACATGAGCCAGGTGCTTTGTCACTTAAAAATAACTCTGCCAGGTAGGTGGCATGGCCCTTCTCAAACACAAGAAACTCTCTCAGAGAAGTGACTTGCCCAAGGTCACTTAGCTAGTAAGTGACGGAGCTGGAATTTGGGCTGAGGTCTGTCCACCTCACAGCCCTCACCAACACCACTCTGACTCCAGGCCTGGACCCGAGCGAGACTGGACAGACACTCCCTCCCCTGCACGTGCCAGATTTGATCACTGCCTTCCCCGCCAGCCTTGGTGCAGCCCTCTGGCCCCTGAGCCACTAGTACAAGAAGAGGCCGAGACCTCTTGTCCCCCCTGGGGCCCTGGGGACCCTGGGGCCTACAGGTGGGCCCAGAGCTGAGCAGACATCTTTCAGAGCCTTGGAGTGTGTCTGGTTTGTTGTTTGTTTTTTTTTTAATTTAAGTGATGTTGTCATTGTTGCCGTGGCTGCAGCTGTTCTTGTGACGTTGCGCCTGTCAGCTGTGTAGCTGTTGTGTCCCTTCTTCTCGCAACTTGTCTCGTTCTCTCCTCCGTTGCAGATTGAAGTAGTCAATACTTTCAAGAGCGGGGCCTCCTTTCAGGGGGCCCTGCGGAGACAGTCCTCCGTCACCAGCCAGAGCCAGGACGTAGCCAATCTCTCTAGCCCTAGTCGCGTGTCGTTGTCCAATGCTCTTTCCTCTCCGACCAGCCTTCCTCCTGCTGCAGCTGGGCGTGAGTGTGACTCCTTACCGCCTCCATCTGGCACCACCAACGCCAGCTCCCGGGCGGGCAGGCGGGAAGGGGCTGGGGTACCAGAGGACATGGGGGGCAGCCTGTCACCATTAGGCCCAGGAGACTGAAAGGTCACAGCAACTGAAGGTCCTAGTTGGTTAGGAGATCACAGCTAGTCCCACGGTGGCAGTCACTCAGTGGGCCAGGGTCAACTGGGGTCAGGGTTAGGGATTACAACCAATCAATCAGTGGGGAGAGGTGTTGTAAGGGTCATAAGTGGCCAAAAAGTCCAGGTCAGTCAAAGGATCACCATCAGTCAAGAGGGTTTCGGTGATCAAAGGGAAGCAGTCACCAAGGGGACACAGAGTGTCCCGTGGGCCTGTGGTCATACTTGGGTCAGGAAAAGGCTGACCTATGAGGGCAAGGGTCAGAGTTGAACAAGAGACCACCGTCTTGCAGTCAGAGCTAAGTGAAAGGTTGTCATGGGCCAAGGGGTAGAAGCTCCTGGGGGTCACACTCAGTGACAGTGGGGTCCAGCCAAGAGAGGGGCTATGTCATATGGGGCTTCCCAGCTGGTGTGGGAGACCTCCCTCCACAGCGGGGGTCACGGTCAAGGGGGATGGTTGAGCCAAGAAGTCAGCGCAGGTCCAAGGTCACAGTCAGTCAGAGGTCCCAGGTTACCAAGGAGACCACAGCCTGGAGGCCTAACATCCACAGTTCAGAATCTCTGCCCTCCTCGTATCACTCCTCCCCTTGCACATCTGACTCAGCTACCCCACAAACACTTTTTCCTGCAGCTAAAGGTTGGAACATGCTGAAGCTATAACCCTGTCCTGTAAGGGACAAGGCCCCTGGGCTCGACCTCAGTTAGAAAATGGCAGGTTGTGCCACATGTCTTGTCTGGGTGCCAGCAGGTCTGGTCTAACCTTCAGCATCCTGCCCTCTTGTGTATGAGGGATAGCCTGAGACTCTTGCCTCCTCCTCCATCTCCCTCCTGCCACACTTAACTCCTCATGCCACCACATCCAACTTGGGGCTGTCAGTCACTGGCCTGCCTAGATCTTTCCTGGACCTCTCTGTGGCTTCAGGCCATGGAGGGAATAAGTGTTTATCTCCTGCTACCCTTGTGGTGTCTCAGCTCCTCCCCAAATGCAAAGGAGCCCCTCATTCTGGTCTTCCCAGCTGACACGATGCATTTATTATCTTAGCCTGCAATTTCAAGAAACAGACTCTAGACCTCATCTCTTGATACTGTAGACTCTCCCCCTATCCAAAACAGAACTCCACACCACACGCCCACCACCACAGGGCAGGAAAGGACCGTGTGCTGGGTAGAACCTGCTCCATCATAGCCCTTGCCCTCTGGCAGGGGGTGCAGGCCCAGAGAGCCTGTTGGTAGGCTCTGCTTGTACCCCGTGCCCTTTCTAGGAATGCCTTCCTGCCTGGTAAATAAGATGACAGGAAAGATGCCGAAAAGGGGGGGAGGCCAGGTGAGCCAAGATGACATGGAGATAGATGTACCTGAGCAGATGATATCTGAGTCACATTTCCATGAGGGACTGTCACTAGGAAGTCACTGCCAGGCCTTCTCAGAGCAGGCCACCCTGTTCCCACCCTCCTCCTGCTTCAGAACAGAGAGCCCTTGCCTGCCTGGTGGCCCTCGCCAGCTGACCTTTCTGTTCCTGCACCAGCTTAGTTCAGGCCATGCTCAGCACCACCTGTCTTGGGGTGTACTGACCCAAGTGTCCTGGTGTGGAGGGCTACCTGGGGAAGGACTTATTTATTTCAGTTCCTGCTATCCCTCTTGCTGACTCCTGTGTCCTCTGGCAGGGTCTGACTGCCAGGAGGCTGCTTCTAGGGGCAAGCTTGGTTCTCTGTCCATCCTGGTTCAGCCGCTTTCTTAAAGGGCAGCACGTCACACTGGCCACGACAGAGCATGTCTGGCATTCCTGGGCACCCACGCAGCCCCTGAAAATCTTCCCTTGGCTTAGCCCCTCATCTTAGCCCTCACAGTCTAGAAGAAGGAGCTGCCCTCTCGAGCCTCAGCCACTTTACCCTCACATTTTGCAACATTTATAAAGCCATTCCTGTCCCAGGACAACACTTCTCCTTCAGAGAAATGCCCCTTTGTGGCCCCCTTCCACTCCCTGTCTTCGAACTAGTCTCCTTCCACGCCAGATCAGTCCCCTTTAGCCCATGGTCATCCCAACTTTGGAACAGCCTTTGGAAAGAAACCTAGGCTGAGGCTGGACCAAAGCTGACCTGACAGTCCTGGGCCTGACCCTTTGTTCTGGCCCAGGACCAGACACCACTCCCTCACCCAGCCTGTCTCACCCCTCCCCTGGGTATCATGTTTCCTTAAGAACCTCACATTCCTACTTTCTGTTATTGTGGGTCCCTCCTGGAACCCCTCCTTGGGCATGTGGTCTTGAAAAGACCTTGGCCATCCTCCTGCCCGGGGGCACTAGTTCCAATTAGGATCACAACCTCTGTGGTTTCAACATACACATTTGGACAACACAGTCGCAATGCAACTCTAACAGCCCCTGGTTGCCCCTTTGCTTGGATCGTTTCTATAACAACGTCACCTCCTCTGGTCTTCAAGGATGCGGCGGACCCTCAGATGCCAGGCAAGGTCCCTTCAGAAGCCACAGTGCTTCCTTGCAACAGAGAGGTTTGAAGCAGGTGTCCAGGAAGTGGGGGAAGGGCCCCAGTTAGATGGGATGAAAAAGTAGCCCCCTCCCCCCCAGTGGGACCTCCTTCCTGGGACTCTCCAGAAGAGGACCGTGGCCATGGACCTGCCAAAGCCAAAAGTACCTGGGGTCTGTGTGGCCTTGGAAGGAGTCAAACTCTGTCCCCTGGGCTATCAAGAGTTGACCACAGAGGCCTGGGACAGGGCCTGACTTCTGAGCCATGACTCGGGGGTGAAGAAGGCCCCTGGACACATGACAGACCCTCCTGCAGCAGACGGAGGATGTGGTGAGCACGACGGTCCCCTCAGCAGCTGTGCGGACGCAGACAGGCGGGAGGGAATGCTAGTACACTCTCTTGCTTTGCTCTTCTGACTTCAAAAATGAGTTTTCCAAAAAAAAAGAAACCTAAATGGTGCACCCCAATGCCTACTTGAGCCCCTCAGCGTTTCCACATCAGTTCTCCACCCCTCTACCTCACAGATGCTTCACAACCAAAATGGGAGGAGGGAAGAGCCCCACGCCCATGCAACAGGGAAGGACACTGACATGGCCAAGGCCACATAGCAAGGGAGTGGCAAGAGGTGGGACTCCAGAGTCCCACATTCTTCCTGCCACTCCACACCACAGGCAGGCCCACAGACCTGGAGCCCCCAGAGTTTGAATTTCCACAGTAGCCCTGCCCACAGCCTCTCACAGTGGAAAGGAGCCAGAGCTCAGAAAGCCGGGAGCTGTTTCTCAGCTTGAGTTTCTACGGGCCTGGCAGGGACTGGGGCGAAGGTGATGGGGACAGTGTTAGCACTCCACTCTTTCATCCAAAGCCAAGCTGCTCAGCCTCTCTTTCTTATCGCCTGAACTTTCTGACTCAGCTCGAATCACCTTGGCACTTGGCAAGTCCGTAGTGGGCTCCATGATCATCAATGCGAGTCCTGCTCCTTCTCACCAATCATGCCAAGAGCAAAGAGCAGGACCCACGAGCCAGCCCCAGCCGCATCCTGGCCCCTGCACCTTGCTGAACAGGGCACCTCGCGCTCCCACTCCCCCTTCAGATTGCCAGTTCTGAGAACACCTAGGGCAAGGAGTTTGCTCTGTTCAGGGAGAAAGGAAGACGAGAAAAAGGGACGTAAGCTGGACTTCTGGTTAGCATTTTGGTAACCAGTGCAGGCGTGGGTTGGTGAGAAAATGGCTTGCTTCTGGGGGGGCCCCAGACCTCTCCACTGTCTGAATATTCCATTTGTTTGTTTCCCTAGAGGGCTAGAGAACCCTGGACACAGAGTTCAGCAAGAGAGAGTGAAATTAAAAGAGGTTGTGAGTCTTTAACCTTGAGCCTGAAATGAATGTGAATCAATCCCAGACTCTTGGCTTCTTTGAAGCCGGGTAAACATTCGAGTATGTCGAACCCACCTCAGACCAGGGCCTGTGTGTTTCCTCAGAGCCCTCTGGCTGCAGGCGCGGGTCTCCCTGCTCCCTCGGTGCTGATGAAACAAAAACCTATGAAAGCCTGCTCACCGGGTCCCTTTCTCTCCTTCCCCCTCCCCCGTGCCGAATGTGGCTTAAGCCAAAAATATCCCACCTTTAGGGCAGGCAGGGAGGGGAGATGGAAGAGCCTTTTTTTTTCTTCCCATATTTTTTTTCCATTTCAGCCGCGGAGAGAACCGAAGCGGAGACTTGAGATGGCCGTGGCGGGGTGTCCCGAAAAGTCTTGTCCCCACAGTCTTGTCCAGAGTAGTTCATTTTTTCTGTTGTCTCCATGCCAGCGGGAGGGCAGAGGGACCTCATCTCATTGTGTGTCATCCCCTCTGCGTTGTCAGTCACAAGACAGGGTCCTGCCACCAACTCTCTCCCCTCACACATACTCTAGGCCTCTTATTGCAATTCAGCCTCAGAACATGCTGGGCACTAGGCTGGGCAGCAGCAACTATGATGATCATTCCCATTCTACAGATAAGAAAACTGAGGCCTGCAACCCCCTTTTTTTGGTTTTCACTTAATCGGGGTGTAATGGCCCACTTATCAGGAGATCAGAATATGAGTAATCTCTACCCACCTGCAAATAGGGGATCCAGTGGGGAAGAAATCTCAGGGTAGTGAAAGTGGCTGTGACAGAGACCAGCATGAGCTCGTGCAGTGTCTGGCTGGCTCTTGCTTGGAACCTGTTGCCTCTTATTTAAAGCACAATTCTAGCAAACAAGTTTCCAGGAGTGCCCAGCCCACAGCCCATGATAAGGAGAAGGGACAGAGAGGTTTTTAGAAGACAAGGAGAAGTCAGCGCTAACTAGTAAGTAATGGCTGACAGCAAAGGAGAAAAACTTAAGGAAGGGGAAGAAGACAGACTCTGGGGTCTTTCTTATGCAAGACCAAGAATGATTGACAGAATTTACATTCAGTTCTTCTCTGCATACTCTACATTAGAAGTCTGAGGAGCATATGATGTGCTTTAGAAAGACTCCCCTCTGAAATAGTAAAATAAAGGTTCAGTGATGGCACTTAAATCATCAACCACAGTCATCTAGAAAATTCACTCCTATGGAAAGGGCTTTTCCTAACTGTGCCCACCAAGGAGCTACCCCTGGGTTCAGCTGAGAGCTCAAGTCCTGGGACTTCAAGGGCCTCCCCACGACCGTCTCGTCCAGTCCTCTGCCTCCCCGCAGGCCTGTGGCTTGGGGCAGCCGCTGCTCTGCAGGCAGGTGCCACTTGGCCTCCACACAGTGGCTGGCTAAGGCTCTGCCCCTGGAGGCATCGGGCCATCTTATTTTCTCCACCTCTTGCTCCACTCTGAATTGAGGTGGGGAAGGGAAGAGGAGGCATCTTTGTCTCAAGTCCCATCAGACCCTTGAGATGACAGGCATGGCTGTCCTCCCAAGAGTCCAGAGAAGGGACACCTCTCTTTCTAGTGAGGGTCCTGTCCCTCTGCACCCTGTGAGGCAGGACGGAGGACGACCAGAGAGACAGTGTGGCTTGCCCACAGTCAAGGCACCAGAAGTGGCAGAGCCAGGACTCATGCTCAGGGCTTCCTGCCTGAGTCCAGCGCTCTTTCCACTCCCCTTGAAGACTCAACGACCAAGCTCCTTCCATTCTTCAGAGGTGAAAACTGAGGCCCGGGATGCGTGGTTCACGACTGAGACACAGAAAATGAAAGGCTGTGTTGTTCTGTGGCTCAGTTCCACACACTCCCAGAATCCCACCAGGGGCGGGGTTTGCCCATCTGATTCTGGCCTCAACTTTTTGGTTTTGTGTTTTCAAAGCACAAAAAAAGTATCAAAAACCCCCAGGAAATAAGGGGCCCCAAAGCAAGCTCCAATGACCGGCCAGGGCTTTGAGTCTATACTCGAGTGTTTACCTCCCGAATGCATGAAGGAAAGCAACGCTGGGTACAAACGACCTCTGTTCACATTGTCCAGGCTTCCAAGTGTAGACGTGTGTCCGTCTGTGTGTGCCGTGTGGTTCCCGACCCCCGCCGTGGCATGCTCCTCGCCTCTGAATGTCATCAGTCTGCCGGCTCCCCGTGCTTTCTGGCTGCCTCCGCTGTGCGCCTGAGGAAGCCCTGGGTTGGCTTCGGTCTGCTTTGCCGCCTCTGGTTTGCCGTTCCCATTCTGTTTGGCCCTCGTGTGTCTTCTCTCATCCCAGCTCATCCATCCGTCTCTCCTTTCTGTCCCGTTGCGTTTTGTAACGTGACCTGTCCCATGTTGTGTGGTTTTTTAACTGTGTGGTTTTTTTAAGATTAATTGTTTTACAGTAGCCTCCCTCTTTCCCACTTTATTCCTCCCTGGTCCTACCCGCCTTCTGCATGGTCGAACCTCTGCTTTCAAATTAACAAGGCTCAGTCTCTCACTAGGTCTGGGTGTCCGCCGGAGGAGTCGACTGTGCTTCCTTTAACCACTGTTTTCCCATCACCTCTTTGATGGTGCTCAATCATTCCTCCTGTCCTGATACTGTAGTTCTGACCAAAACCAAAGCAATTTAAAAAAACCAACTCATGGATGCATATGCCCTGAGCCTCCTCTTCCGCTCTCCCCCACCCTGTCAATGCTCTTAACACCCAGCGACTGTGGATTATTCCAGCCACTGCTGTGCCCTAACCCTCTCCTGCCCCCACCCCGTGACCCCCACCCCAGCCTCAGTGGGCAGTGCCTGACCCCTGTGCTTCCCTTGCAGATCCGCGTCGTGAAGGCGTTCCGTAGCTCTCTCTATGAAGGTTTAGAAAAGCCTGAGTCTCGAACCTCCATCCATAATTTCATGGCTCATCCCGAATTCCGGATCGAAGATTCCCAGCCCCACATCCCCCTCATTGATGACACCGACCTGGAAGAAGACGCTGCCCTCAAGCAGAACTCCAGCCCGCCGTCGTCGCTCAACAAGAACAACAGCGCCATCGACAGCGGGATCAACCTGACGACCGACACAAGTAAATCAGCTACCTCTTCAAGTCCAGGGAGCCCCATCCACAGCCTGGAGACATCGCTTTAGCTGAGGACCCTGTCGCCGCCACCCGCCTCCCGGGCACCCACCCATCCAGGCACCCAACTCACCCAAGCAGCAAGGAGCAACGACAGGAAACCAAATACTGGAGAGAAAACCAATGTTTCCACCAACAGACCCCCTTCTCTGGCTGCGATGCTGTTTGAACTCTTTTTCACTTTGAGGCGAGGGGCGGGATCTCCACCGGGGCCTAGGGAACTGAGCGGTTTTCCCAAAACAAGCCCTTCCAGGCTCCTGCCCAAACATGGACCAGCCATGCACCCGCCCAGCCACCACGTCCCCCGCATGAATGTACTGTACACTTTCGATCCTCCCCTTGTTTGGTTTTTGGGGGGTTGGGGAGGGGTTTTGTTTTGTTTTGTTTGTTTGTTTCTTCGGCGGGAACTGCAAACAGACTCTTTTCTGAGACTATTTATCCAACCCACTGGTCTGTGAGTTTTTGAAATGCTTGCGCAGCATGGTCTCAGTTGTATAGATTAATTTAATAACTTTTTGAAATTGCAGAGCTTAACGCGCCTAGTAGATTTGCACCAACGGAACCGAAGAACTTCATAGACACTCACGAGGTTATATCCATTTCTTTGTATCTATATCAACGTATACTTCTCCAAGACCGTATACGTCCATATAGATAGGTAGATATATATATATATAAATATATATACATGGATATATAAAGTTTCTTTGCCGGCATGTTGCCTTGTTTCCGCTTAAATTGCTCTATTTTAACTTATTTATGTCCCAAAAGAAGAATGTAATTTGTTTACAAACCTGTAGATAATGTCTTTGGCTATTTGTACGGTTTAAGAACTCTAGCGGCTGAGATGCTATACAAAAAACAGCTCAGCCCAACAGACACTCCCCTGGATTGCGCCCTTGATGTTTTACAATAGCCATGCTCTGACTTTTGCCTGCTGTTTCCGTTCAATAATGTCACTACCATGGGAGGCTCAGGCAGAAGCCAAATGCAAGCCAAGCATCCGTCCCGAGGCGTTTAACAACATGCTCCGTAGACGAAGGGAGAGGAGGGGAGAAGGCTTCCTGGATTTGCAACACTAATGGCCTTCCCGGCCCGAGGATGCCAGATCTGCAAAACTCTGGTCGAAGACTTTTCTCTCGATGAAACTTACTTGAGTTTACTAAGAGCATTGCAAAAATAGGTTCTCTTTGGCTCTGTCTGTAGGGAGGTTGAGGTAGTGTTGAAATATTATAAATGCTGTTGTGTTGATTTTTTTTTTTTTAGTTAGTAATTTAGAGGTTTATTTCCTTATCAATGGCAGCATATAAGCTGTTGGCCTATTGGATGAGGATCGGTATGGCTTGCTGCTTTTATTTTTATTTTTGAAGAATAGCCTTTTTCTCTGCACTATTTAGATCCGAATGAACCTTATGATGTGTATATTGAGATGTATTCAGTGTGATTTTTAAACCAAATTGTCTTCCTGTAGTCACAATATATACTGTAGCCTTTTAACAGCAAGTCTTGCTTTCCCAGACAGAAAGCCATTCTGAAACCCTACAGTATCACAGGTGAGAAGAGGTGGTTATTTGCCCCCCCAAGACAATAACAGCACTAGCAATCCCACTTACTAAGAGCTTATTTAATTGTATGTCAGCCTCTTAACTGCTAAGCACTTTGTGGGTCTCAGCATTTTTCATAAAAGGACTTTTGTATTTAATACAAAGTTTGCTTTGAGACTTTTCAGCATACGATCTTTTTCCATAAACTTGTACAGTGCAAAAGACATTTTGAATACCATGATCGATGATGTCCCATGCTTCAAGGAAAACCAAACACTTTCCGCCTCACTTGTGAAATCCATTCCTCGTGGTGACCCTTCCCACATGGTTGCTGTGTGTCCCTTCCCTTCTCCAGGCCCAGAGAACTCTTCCACAAAAAAAGATGAGAGCCACTTGGGAAAAGAGCCATAGTCAGCTAGGAGGGCCTATGTCTGGACAACGGCTGTGGAAAAACTTAGGGGGTTGGGGTTAGAAGTCAGCCCATCCCACCTGGCAAAATCAGTCAGAGGACCTCCTTTTCAAGAGAGCCCCACCTGAATGTTGTGAAGAAGTATCTCTGAATGTACCCAGCAAAGGAAACTGCACACCCAAAGGGGTGACCAGCCCTCAGATGTGCTTCTTGGATCCCGGTACAAACACCACCAAAGCCAGCCCACTGCTCTCCTCCGAGGAAGGAAAGACCTGCACACCTCTAACACGGGGTAGCCTTGGAACATGGTTTTTTTTTTTGGAGTTTCCTTTCTCGCAGTTCTCCATCTTGCCCTTCTATGTTCACTCGTGTGTCCGTGACCTCATCCCATGACATCAGGATAGTTCTGCTTGCACGCCATGCCCGCTGTCCATCTGGAGCCAGGACATAAGGAAAACAGGAGGGTTTTCTGAGCAGAGCCTCGCTGGGGAACAGGGAGCAGTGGAAGGATGCCGATGTTAGCTTGGTCTTCTCTTGTGAGAATGACGGATACTCACACACACGCACCCCGCACTCTCACACTCGCACACACGTCCTCACACACAGGAAATGGTTGGTTTGTCAAAACTCACTGTAGTACATAAAGCTTGCACTCTGCGTCCTATTATCTAGCAGCATGGGGTACGTTTGGCAGTTCACCCCATTAGGGGGTAAATAATTTATGACCATTCATCTGTTTTTATGAATTTTTTTATCTAGACAATAATTGTAAATAAAGAATTCACCGTCTCTGTTCATTTAATACTATGCAATGGTTATGCTTTCAATTGCTGACTCTTCTGACTCCTGCAGTGTGGTTCTGAAATGCCTGTGGTTTAAAAAAAAAAAAAAGGCAAAAAACTACATCAAGCAGAACATAGTAAATATATACTCTGTAACATAAACTTTTTTTCTAGTTTGGGACTACAGTGTCCACTTAACTGCTTTTGTGCCCTCTGGACAAGGGCTCCAGGAGAAGGTGACAGATTCAGTTCTAAGGTCTAAGCTCCCCAGCTTGTCTCCCCCAAGACAAAGAAGAGCAGAGAGCCCATCCAGTGGTTCCTGGCACTGTAAAATCAGCCACCTTTCCTTTTTATAGCTCAGACAGAGCTTTTCTTAATCAGGAGCAGTTTCCATTGCTCCTGCCTCCCCTCACCATGGCCCCTCACCTTGTCCCCACCATGGCAGAGAGCTGACAGGAGGAAGGCTATCTTGCTTCTGTTATTGCTACACTGGACTGAGGACTCTGAACCTGTCTTCTTCTTTTTTTTCTTCTTCTTATTTTTTATTCTTTTAAAGTTAGACTACTGTGACACTTGTACAACTTTTTTTTTTTTTTTTCTGAGACAGAGTCTCACTCTGTTGCCCTTAGTAGAGTGCGGCAGCGTCACAGCTCAGAGCAACCTCCAGCTCTTGGGCTTAGGCGATTCTCTTGCCTCAGCCTCTCAAGTAGCTGGGACTACAGGCGCCCACCACAATGCCCAGCTGTTTTTTTGTTGCAGTTTGGCCAGGGCTGGGTTCGAAACTGCCACCCTCAGTATATGGGGCTGGCGCCGCACTCACTGAGCCCCCGGCGCCACCCACTCTGAACCTGTCTTATCCTGGGTCCCCCAGTTATTGAAGAGCCACTCTTTCCCCTAACCATGTTGAAATACCACCTTTTCCACAAGCTGATAGCTCACATAGAGTTGGGTCTATTTCTGGAATTTCTCTTCCATCCCTTTACCTGGGTGTCCCATCGGCAGCAGTAATACAGTTTTAATTATTGTCACTTTATAATGTTTTTTTTTTAATGTGGTAGGATGAGTCCCCTTCATTCTTCTTTTACGAACTATCCTGGTATTCTCTCACATCTGTCCTTCCAACTTTAAAATGTGGCCTAGTCCTCTATCGCCACCCCATGTTCTGGGCGCTGTCATTTTGTGTGCCATCATCTTCCCCCATGCTAACTACTGTCCACTCAGGGCAGCGAAGTAGTGTGTCCTGTAAGGAGGGACAAAAAGGGCATCCTGAATTGTGAAGGAGACATGTTTCTCCCATCACTTCACCTGTCCTTTAAAGTCAGTGAGTTGTTACGAGAGGCCCCCAAGCCCCCATTCAATCTCAGCTTGGGAACCAAAGTCACCCACTTGGTTGTCCTGGGGTGGACCCTCCATCTACCCCTGGTCCACATGAGAAACAGGTTTCTCTCAGACCTAGAACTGGGGGAAATGTGTGGCCCAGTTGTCTGTTCTCCTAATTCTCATCATAGAGAAAACTATCCTGTCCCCCTTTCCTGAATTGATTTTTGGGTTTTTTTGTTTTATTTTGCTTTTGGGGGGGGTAGGTCACCTCTTGTTCTTCAATTCAGAGTCTTCAGCACCTCTGGGATCCAGACGTTTCTTGCCTGGACCTTCTCAGCACCCTGACTCCCCTCAGCCTATTTTTGCTCTGCCTACAAGAGGCTGCCAACCTGGTGCACCCTGACAAGCCTCCCCCCCCAGTCTCCCTCCTCCTATAGTGTCCGAAATCCCACCATTAGCGGATCTTGGGGGGAGGGACATTTCTTGAAGGCTTTTGGGCCTTCCAGAGCCAGGGCCGAAATCAGACAACAGCAGGAATCCCCAAGACTTTTCCAAGTTCCAAATCAAGCTCTCCTGATTTTAATGTGGAGCTCATACCCACCTGGGCAGCAGCCCTCACCTCTCCACCGAAAATAAGATACAGGTATTTGAGGCTGCTTTGGGACTCCCCTTCTCAGCCCCCGAGTCTGTTTTGTAATGCCTGTGGTGCTCTCCCTCCAGGGCCTTTCTCTCGGGGGTCACCACACTTTGCTAACTCTTGTGTGCACATATTTTATAACTGAGTAGCGAGGGAATGGTGCCGCCTCCAGCTTCCACAGCGGCCAGGGCTCTGGGGGGCTCTGGGAAAAGCGGGGCTGGGAAGTGACTGTGCTCTTATTGTACACGCTTGATTTCTCTGTATCTCTGGCTTGTGCTCTTTGTAATTAATGGGATTCATCTGCCTTTTCAACACTATACTGAGCAATAACAATAAATGCACACGTGGAAACGCAGACACTGTACCCATCACAAGGCCTTTTTCCACAGGACAGCTGCGCCCCCACCCTCTGTGGATTTGAGGGAAATTGAGTCCCTGGGAGGGAAGGCACTTTGCCCAGGGGCACGCAGTCCAGTGGGCAGTCCCTCTCCTTCCACCAGTCACACCTCTTGAACATCCACCATTTGAGGAAGACAAACTTACCCTGCCATGAGCCATTAGCCAATGAGGAATGGCTGGCCATCTCAGAGAGGAAGACCTGGGGGAAAGGGACCTCAGGAGAAAGAGGATAAGATTCAGGGGCAAAGGGCTGGGAGGTGGGGGACACAAATTGGAGAAAGTTAATAATGGCCTGATTTGGGGGGTTGGATTAACCAGAGGAAGGAGAAGGGAAATACAGACACAGGATGTGGGTGGCATCCCATACTGGGGAGGGGTAAGACATAAGGAAGCCTGGCATCCTAAGAGCCTGAACTTGACAAATCTCTACTGAACATCAGCAGAGAAAGGAAATATGCCCAGACCAAGATACAATCTCTAAGGTTGGCCCAAAGCTTAAAGGACACACACACACACACACACACACACAAATCCCAGCTCTTCTCAGCTTGAATGAATCCCAGGATCAAGCCTTATAGACCCATCCAACTTCCAAACACAGTTTCATAGGCAAGGGTTCATTTAATCCCAACATTATCCTTCACAGGAGGTGTTATTACAATCCTCACCCAAAAGAGGAGACAGCAGCTTAGAAGAGCATGCCCACCTAATAAGCGGTGTTGATACCCAGAAATCCCGATGCTAGTCAGTGCTCTAAACCTGTGTATCACAGGGCTTGTCAGTCCTACCAGCAAATATCCTAATAAGTAAATTAGAACTAATTGTAGTTCTGTTGCTTGTCCCACATCCCCAATCTCTCCAACTTCAATGCTTACACAAAAAAGTTAGTAACAATTAAATGTTATATTCATTTCATATCTAATATATATGTCTAATGTTCCCTTGCATTATATTTATGTTATAGCTAATATTCCCTTCTCCACATTTCCACTCGAGAAAAATGAGGGTCAGAGAGGAATGACTTGACCTTATCACCCAGAGAATCAATGATGCAGCTACGAATCTAAGGCCCTCAGGATCTGTCCCTTCAAGAACAAGAGACCTTTTACCAAAAGGAAAAAATGACATGTATCATAAAGACACTTGCACTTGAATGCTTATAGCGGCACAATTCACAATCACAAAGATGTGGAAACAACCCAAATGCCCATTAATAGACAAATGGATTAATAAAATGTGGCATATGTATACCGTGGAAGCCATAAAAAAGATGGTAAAATAGTATCTTTGGTAACAACCTGGATCAAGTTGGAGACCATTCTCAGAAGTGAAGTATTGCAAGAATGGAAAAACAAACACCACATGTACTCAATACTAAATTGGAACTAGATGATCAACACTTAGGTTCATATGGAAGCAAAACCCAACAAAATTCAAGTAGGTGGGAGGGGGGACAAGGAGATCAGTAAATTCACAACTATTGGGCACATCACATACTTGGATGAAGGGCATACGTATAATTTTGACTTATAATACACAAAAGCAAACTATGCAATCAAAGTATATGTATCCCCATAATATTCTGAAATAAATAACATGCATCAAAAAAGGAGGCCCAAGAAATACCTACACATTTATTCCTTCCTCTGCCCTAAGAAACATCCTACACACTCCTGCAATAGGCACATATTTCTTCACTGAAGGCAAGTAACAAAACTGGAAAGGGTGAAAGAGTAGGTTACTCCCCCAAGGTTTGGCCCTTAATTCTATCAACACCCCCACTGCCCTGGCCCCCTCTCCAAAGCTTCTTGACAGTCTGGGTCTATCACACTCTCTGAGCTTTAACATCTCTCAATAAGTGACCTTCTCCAGCTAAGGTTCACTCCTAGTTTCAACAGAGGAAACTAAAAGATTGTGACTTACCCAGGGGGAGTCAAGGCTTCACCCTAGGTCACTTGCTTCCTAATGTCATGAGGGGGCCCAGAGCTAGACCATGTGTGGCTGAGGGGAACCCAAAACCTCTGAGCTCCACTACTGGGCATTCTCATTGGGCTTGTAGGGAGACAGCTGCTCTCCCTTGAGAAGCCAAGGACCTAGGGACTGGGAACACTAGGGATGGGCTCTTCGGCTCTAGCTACAGGAGCTCGGCTAACATCCCTCTTTGCTTGGGGGAATCTACCTATGGGACCAGACTCAAGACTCCAGGGGATCACTTTGAAGGAGGCATTTGGAGGCATCAGTCCTGTGGCTTAGGGAGGGCAAGGTGAGAGGTCTCAGCCTCTGGGTGGGGGGCACTCTCTGGCCTCCTCTGCTGTGCTCCCTGTCCTCAGGTCCTGAGGAGGAACTAACCAGAAAGGAGCATTAAGACTAGTCTAGTCGGCTTGGTGCCTGTGGCTCAAGTGGCTAAGGCACCAGCCACATACACCTAAGGTGGTGGGGTGGAATCCAGCCCAGGCCCGCCAAAAACAATGACGGCTGCAACCAAAAAAATAGGCAAGCCTTATGGTGGGCGCCTGTGGTTCCAGCTACTTGGGAGGCTGAGGCAGGAGACTGGCTTGAGCCCAGGAGTTGGAGGTTGCTGTGAGCTGTGATGCCACGGCAGTCCACCCAGGGAGACAGCTTGAGAGGCTCTGTCTCAAAAAAAAAAAAAAAAAAAAAAGACTAGTCAC